AGACACAACAGGTGAAAAAAAAAAAAAAAAAAAGGCCGTCCTTCTCCGCTATCTTCTCCTCCCCCTCCTTCTCCGCTATCTTCTCCTCCCCCTCCACCTTCTGTTCTCGTCGCCCTCTCGTCTTCTTCTTCTTACCCTCCTCCCCCTCGCGTTTTCATCTTTCTCCTCGACCTTTCATGATCTTCTTCTTCTTCCCCTCCTCACCTCTCTTCTTCTTCTTCTTCTTCTTCTTCTTCTTCTTCTTCTTCTTCTTCTTCTTCTCCATTCGCTAGGTCGTCTTCTCTCCTCTTCTTCTTCTTCCCGTCCTTCCCTACTCCCTCCCTGCCTTTCTTCATACCCTGCTGCCGCCGCCATACCCTACTGCCATACCGTACTGCCATACTGTGGCATACTGCGCAGCCACACGGGCCTGCAGGGCCTGTCCCGCAGTCTCAGCCTAAAAGCCTAGAAACAAGGGCTTACAGGCCCCATGTCGTTTCAGCCTGAAAGACTGAAAAACGAGAGCCTGCAGGCCCTATGTCGTTTTAGCCTAAAACAGGGTCTTTCAGGCCCTGAGTCCTTTCAGCCTGAAACGGAGGGCCACTTTCGGGCCCTCATAAGATCGACATGCCCTAACACTCAGGCACAAAACCAGGGTTTCAGGAACAGGCTATTTTTGGCCTGTTCCCACACCAGCCTCAGCAGGAGCTGCAGCGGCAGGCCCAGGGTCATCTCGGCATTGGCAAAGAGCAGCCTCCTGGACTGCCCCGCCCTGCACAGCTGCAGGCAGTCAGGAGGCAGGCCGAGTAGTACATGGGGAGTTCCCATGCACTTCACGGGTGGTCAGAGGGCGAGGCAGTAGTAGTCTTCAGGATTCGGCAGCAGCACTCTGGAGGAGCGCTGCAGGAGTAGCTTATCGCTAGCAGTAGTCTTCAGCGCTGGGCGCTAGTAGTAGTAGTAGTCTTCAGCGCTGGGCGCTAGTAGAGGTAGAGGAGGTGAGAGAGAGAGATGGCTGGCGGAGGCCAGGGAGACTTACTTGTGGCGCCATAGCTCCAGCTTCATCTTCAAGGCACCTGCATCCAGGCGCCAACTTCACAGGTTAGTACCGGACAGAGAGAGAGAGAGAGAGTTCTTCTTCTTCCTCTTCTAAGTCCACCATCTCTTCGTCACCCTCTCACTCCCCTGACTTCTCAGTATCAGCGGACTTCGACAGAGAGAGAGTTGTGACTTGAGACTTGACAACATTGGATCCAGACTCGACATTGGGATTCAAACATTTTGACGAGGGACTATTTGGGTTTGTGCCGAAGACTTGGTGTTGACGACATTCCCATCTTCCCCTCCTCTTCGTCTAACCCCCCTCTTCTTCATCTGTGTATGGTTGCGGACTGGCGCATTCTTCTTGTGTGAGCGCCAGGCCCCTTCACACCATGGAGTGATGATGATGATGTATGTTCAGGACTGCATTGCAATATTGATTGTTTGGATCATTGGTATCTAAGTCTTCCGCTACGCTATCTTGTACTTTGTGAGAGAGGTCGGTTCTTGTTCTGGTCTGCACCATTACAGTATGCAACTGTTTGGAATCGGAGCGGACCTCTCATTCAGAGGACCCGCTCAATCAAGTAGCCAGCTTGCTTGATCTATTGATTACTCATTAGTAAATCAAGTAGGACTTCGTCAAATCTCTGAAAAAAAAAAAATCTTGCAACAAATATCTGAAAATTTCTGATATTCGCATTTCGTTTTACCTGAAAATTTCTGATATTAGTATTCCGTTTTCACACAACAAATATCTGAAAATTTCTGATAATCGCATCTCGTTTTATCTGAAAATTCCTGATAATAGCATTTCGTTTCTCTGATATTCACATACATAGCCGAAAATTTCTGATGTTAACATTTCGTTTTCTAGGCATATTGGGATAACGATAGAGGTGGTCATATTCTCGGAAACCGGATTTATTCTTCTCTGAAAATCGAATCTCCATTCTATCTCGCAAATTTTTTTTTGAAAACCGAAATCTTGCGAAGCCTACAAGCATTTCGTTTTAGGCATATTAGGAGGTTGCCATATTCTCAGAAACTGGATTTAGTTCTTTTCTGAAAATCGCATCTCTACTCTATTTCGCAAAAAAAAGTTCAAGATCGCATTTTTGTGAAAGCTGAAACTTTGCGGAACCTAGCCTAGATCACGCTCATAGTACTCTTCTGACATAGCTCACTCATAACAGATCGACAGATATACAAAAAATACAAATAAAAGGGGGGGTGTTCCTCTTCTTTAATTTTTTTATTTATTTTATTCTGTTGATTAGGACCGGGAGGAAAGTATAGCTTGGTCGGTTACCTACCTGCGTTTTCCCTCCCAGCCACCCCTTTGCCTGCATTCCCGGTTTGGTACAGTGCCACGTCAGCAACAGTGCCATGTGAGCCGTGCCACGTTAGCAACAGTGTCACATCAGCAGTGCCACGTCAGCATTGCCATGTCAGCAGTGCCACATCAGCAACAGCGCCACGTCAGCAGTGCCACGTCAGCAACAGTGCCACGTCAGCAGTACACGTCAGCAGTGCCACGTCAGCAACAGTGCCACGTCAGCAGTACCACGTCAGCAGTGCCACAGTGCTGCGTCAGCAGTGCCCCACCACCATGACGGGCTCAGTTATGGGCATGCCAGGCCAACTGGCCAATGAGTCCATTGCCGAGTACCGGCAGCGTTTCGAAGCTCAGCTCGCACTGATCGAGGCTGAGGAACAGCGTCAGGCGGCAGCCGAGGATGCCCGCCTACAAGCTGAAGCGGCGGCAACAGTTGAGAAGCAGCGGATTCAAGCCGAAGCCGAAGCAGATACCCAGGCACGCCGCAATGAGGCCCTGGATCTGTTACAGCGGCATGAAGCCACCAGCATCGAAAAGCTCAAGTTTTGGCATTTTGAACCATCTGAGCAGCACGACGACGCGACACCGGAAGAGCAGCACAAGGAGTTCTTGGCCAAACTCGTGACCCAGTTGGTTTACACTTGTAACCACCTGCAGTCCGAGATGGCGAATCTCCGAAGGGCGGTACAGAACCACAAGGGTCTGCACGAGGATGCTACACGGGCACTCGATTCCCGTGTACAGGACTTGGAGCAAGTAGCACCAAGACCAGATGCTGGCGCGACCAGCAATGCACCCTCTACCCGCCAATTGGAAGAACGAGTTGACCACGTAGTCGCAATGCTCGGCGACATCAGCACCTTCGCTGCGCCGGCAACCATCAGCAAGCAGCTGGACACCTTGAAGACCAAGGTTCAGCAACTGCACCAGCGGGCCAACAAGGATGGCAACACCAGTGCGCAGCACTACAAGATGCCGACATTCCAGATCGAGAAGTTCGATGATTATACGCATCAAGACCCGGTCCCCTGGTGGGAGGGCTTTACGACGCAACTTCGGATTCTTTTCGTCCCCGAACACTCGTACATCGGCGCGCTGTTCCTCAACTCAAAAGGCGGATGCCAGATCTGGATCAGCCACCTGGGAACCATTCATGGAGTCCAGGTCGCACATCTGAAAGATAAGATCTCTTGGAAAGAGTTAACACGGCTATGGAAGAAGCGGTTCATCGTGGACGACGCCCCGGCGCTCACCATCAACCGCCTCTTCGCTATGACACAAGGCAACACATGGACACGCGACTGGCTCACGGAATGGCAAAAGATCGTGGCGACGCCGGATCTCGAATTGCCATTTTCGCATCTGCGCCGGGAGTTTAACAACCGGTCATATGCCTCTTTGAGCCTTGCACTTGGTGATAGCGAGCAATACGCGACCTTCGCCGAAATCATCGACAAGGCAAGGAAGATCATCAAGACCAATAGGGCGGCTGCACACGAGAAGTCGGCATGGCAGCCGTGGAGAAAGGGAAATTTGGTCCGCGTCCGCAGCATGTCGCTGCAGTCCACTCGGACAAAATTGTGCAAGACCTGACAGCCACCCAAGCATCACGTGAGGGAGATCAGGTGGCTGATGTCCAGCCGCGAAGCAACAACAACTCCCGAGGAAAAGGGAAGGCGAAAACCGCATCGCCGGCCGAAAACGGACAGCCAACACCTTAGGTCAAATTTCACTTGACTGAGGCCGAATACAAGTGGCGTGGCCGGTATGGCTGCTGCTATTGGTGCAACAGCACCAAGCACAAGACCTCCCAATGACCGGATCAAGGCAAGGAGGATGTTCGGCCTCGCATCAACTCGGGAAACTGAGTTGCGCGGGAGGTAAGGTGACTCCACCTCTCACTCCGCCAGATTCGGCCGCCTGACTAGCGACCTCCTACACATTTGGGGAGGATGTGAATGTCGCAAGTCCTCGGTTCACTTACGAGGATTATGCTGTCCACTTGGTCCCACCGTTAGACCAACCACTCCACGTGCAACAATCCACCGCATGCACGGTTTCACTACCATCGGCAACCGACTCGGCAACTTCGCTACCATCTATCGCTGGGGATTCGACGACATGGTCAAGACTTGAAGAGCTCGACCCGTTGACGTTTGCAGACTTCCAATGGATGCCCCTTCCCTCGTCCGGTCGATTGCCGAAACCGCATTACAACGTGCTCATGGCACAATTGCGGGATTACTTGCACACTGCAGTACCAACTCCGTTGATGGACGCCGGAGCAGAGGTTGTCGACCTTCACGCCTACATTGCGAAGATCGACCGCGAGTTCAAAACACAACGGTACGACGACATCGACGCGCCATTGTTGTACATACGCATTCAGATCGGAGAGGCCTCCTGCAACGCTTTGATCGATTGCGGAGCTACTCGCAACTACATGAGCCAAAACTTTATGGTACGCGCTGGCCTTAAGCCACGCGTTCGGAGGAAGTCGCAGCCCACGCAAGTCACGTTGGTCGACGGTCACACGCACAAGTCAATCGACCAGTGCATTGATGCCGTCCCCGTGTACTTTGCCCCGCATGCAAGCGAGGCCGTGTCCTTCGATATTTTGGACACCAAGTCCGACATGATCTTGGGCATGTCATGACTGCGAAGCGAGGACCACCCGGTGAACTTCTACCGCCGCACCGTTCACGTTCGTGATCGGAACGGAGTACTAATCCCATGCACGGTGCCTCCTCCTCACCCTTCGATCAACTGCCACGTGGTGTCCGCCGCAAGCATTCAAGCTTCCATCATCCGGGATGACATCGAGGAGATGGGGGGGTGTTTTCTCCACGCCCTCCCGCCCCAAGACATTCCATCGACGGACTCAACACCGGACCCACGCATCACCGAGCTTCTCGACGCCTACGGCGACGTGTTCGAAACACCACATGGAGTAGTACCGGATCGGCGCATCCGCCACGAGATCATCCTCGAGGACGGGGTTGTACCTCCGAGTGGTTGCATCTACCGCATGAGCGAGGAAGAGTTAAGTGTGCTAAGGGCACAACTCGACGATCTTCTCAAGAAAGGTTGGATTCGGCCTAGCTCTTCGCCATACAGTGCTCCCGTTCTCTTCGTCCGGAAGAAGAACAAGGAGCTGCAGTTGTGCATCGATTATCGCAAGCTCAACGCGCAAACCATCAAGAACGCCGGCCCTCTTCCGCGCATCGACGACCTCCTCGAACGACTGGGCGGCGCCAAGTTCTTCTCCAAGCTTGACCTCAAATCGGGATATCACCAACTCGAGATCCGGCAGGAGGACCGCTACAAGACCGCGTTTAAGACGCGATATGGGCATTTCGAATGGCTGGTTATGCCTTTTGGCCTTACGAATGCCCCGGCCACATTCCAAGCAGCTATGACAACGGAGTTCCGACACATGCTGGATAGATTCGTACTCATCTACCTCGACGACATCTTGGTGTACAGCCGGAGTTTGGACGAGCATGTGGAGCACCTGCGCACCGTTTTGGAGCGGCTACAACAAGCCAAGTACAAAGCCAACCGCGACAAATGCGAATTCACACGCCAAGAGTTGGAGTACTTGGGACATTATGTGACGCCACAAGGCTGTCCGCTTGCGAACAAGATCGAGGCCATCCGTGTATGGCCCGAGCCCACCAACACCACGGACGTTCATTCATTCATGGGGATTGGCGGGCTACTATCAACGCTTCATCACCGGGTACTCAAGGATTGCCGCACCTATGACGAGATTACAATCGCCAAAGGTGCCATTCGTATTCGATGACGATGCACGCCGGTCATTCCAAGCACTCGAGACGACCATGCTCATGGCACCCGTCCTTAGCATCTACGACGCCACCCTGCCAACGAGAGTGACAACCGACGCTTCCGGCTATGGCATTGGGGCAGTCTTGGAACAACACGACGGCGACGACTGACACCCTGTAGAGTATTTAAGCCACAAAGTGCCTCCCATCAATTCACTTGATGATGCAAGCAAGAAGGAGTTGCTCGCGTTCGTAATGGCTCTCAAGCGATGGCGGCACTTCCTCCTTGGGCGTCGAAGGTTCACATGGGTCACGGACAACAACCCATTAACCTACTACAAGACGCAGGATACGGTGAGCAGCACGATCGGACGATGGATGTACTTCATCGACCAATTTGACTTCACACCGAAACATCTCCCCGACCTCTCCAATCGCGCAGCAGATGCACTCTCGCGAAGACCCGATCTTTGCGCTATGACACATCATGCCTTCCCATTTAACGAGGAACTCCAGCGACACTTCGTCCGGGGCTAAGAGTCCGATCCGATATTCGCCACGTTGTATGCGCAGCTATCTTCGAATCACCCGCCGGCCAGCCACTATCGCATCGTCAACGGGTACTTGCTCCTCCACTCGAGAGGCAAGGACTTATTGTGTGTCCCATGCGCTTGTCGTGTTCAGACTCGCCTTCTCGGTGAGTACCATGACTCGCGACTCGCCGGCCATTTTGGAGTCAATCGCACGATTGCACGACTTCGGCAACGATTCTGATGGCCTGACCTCATTACCGATGTCACTCGGTATTGCGACTCTCGCGAAGTTTGCCGACGAAGCAAGCCCCGCAACCGCAATCCCTACGGCGAGTTGCGCCCGATGCCTACCCACAGGAACCCGGCCTCTCCATTGCCATGGACGTCACCGGTCCGTTTCCCCGCGACCGGCTCGGGCACGACGGCATCCTCACGGTCGTTGACCGTTTGAGTAAGTATGCGTGATTTCTTCCTTGCAAGCACTACGCCACGGCTCCCGAACTTGCGCGCCTCTTACACACCGGCTGGATTTGCAGCCACGGCGTGCCGGAAGACAATGTCATCAACCGAGACACTCGCTTCATGTCGGCATTTTGGACTGCTCTCATGCATGAATCCCGCACGAAGATGAAACCAAGCTCGACTCGGCATCCACAAACGGACGGGCAAACGGAGCGGGCACATCAAACCGCTCAAATGATGCTTCGTACACTCATCCGCCCGGATCAGAAGGATTGGGTTGACCGCCTCCCCGACATCGAGTTCGCCTACAACACTTCGTTGCATCCGGCGATCGACGTGACTCCATTCGAGTCGCACCACCGTGGCCGGAAAGGTCGTATCTTCGTTGCTCTTCTCCTCCCACGAACAGCCGATATAGACGCTGCTTGCTCCCCCGCTTCCGTTCGGAAGTACAGGGAATTGCTGGCTCAAGCCCGCGCGAACATGCAAAAGGCTCAAGTCCGCATGCAGCAGCAAGCCAACAGGCATCGCGTGCTATGTCCCATCCGCTGTCGCACTTTTTCCAGTCGGACCGCTTTAGACGACCGGAAAGCCAACAGGCTGTCACGCATGGTTTTATTGTTGATTGCAATAAATAAAATAAATTAAATAAAGCAAATCCCTTCCTGCTGTGTGCGTCCGACTTCGAGCGAGACCCTTCAATTGCGGTCTTCGCCGGTCCCCGGTCTTAGGAATCTTTTATTTTGATTCGGAACAGCAGAGAATCGTGCAAATAATAATCATAAACTTTTGGAGTGCTATGCATGCAACAATTATGCCAGTCTGATTTTGAGAACTGTGACAGAATCATCCACGAAAGCAATCATCAAGCAAGAGCAATGCAAGAAGTAAGACCGACTGACTCGAGTAATGACAGAGTCAAAGGAACGAGGGAAAAATGAGAACTCATAATAGTCTCAGAAAGTACATATGGGGGAGAGCATGGCCAGCACCAATCAAGAACCCTCACTCATCCCTCTAAGCCTCACACTCAATCTCTCATTTTGTTGTCTATCGTTTGGGCTTCTTGCCATGCTTCCGTACTCTCTGAGGTTGGGGCCTCTGTATGTTTAAGCCACCTGAAGTCGGCTAGTACCGAACTCTTCCATCCAAGCCCCATGATACGGAAGTCAATCATGGCACAAAACTCCTCCCATAGAGTGGGGAGATATGGCTGAGAGAAAATGCCCCTCCTGAGATGTGGAAACTCGGAGGGCTCAGTCACTGCCTCATAGTCGATCACTGTTGGCGATATGTATCTCTTGGCCAAATCCACCAGTCCACCCCAATAAGAGCCGTCAGTGACGGTGAAGGGTACCGGAGGTTTAGGATAATCGACGAAAAGCTTAGGATCAAAGCTATAGACTAGCTTTGTGCCCCCCTCGAGTCTTCCAACTTTCCATTGCACGTACCTGGCTACTGCAACCCACACAGCATCAAAATGAGGGTGTGTCTCTCTCCCTCTCTTCAGAAAAATCCGCAGGTCTTTGACTGTACCTTCAACAAACTCAGTGAGGACGACGAAGATAGACAGATCTTCGCGCTTGAACCCATCGATCTTGACGTATTTGTAGGGAAAGCTCTCCTTGGTAGCTATCCGATTGAGACTGTCAAGGACCGACAGGTCAACTGAAATGGGATTGATCTCTCTCATGAGCTCAATTACATTGATATTTTCTAACGGAAAGAAAGAAGTTGGCTTCTGACTGATGAGTGTATGAGTGAAAGTTACTTGGTAGGATAGAGTCTTACTCAAGCCAACTGAATGCCCCACTGGAAACTGAATGTTGTTGAGGTTGCTGGCTGAGTTCTAACTGAATAGCATTTGAAAGTTGTTTTGAATACTGTTTTGAATGTTGTTCTGAGTATTGTTTTGAATGTTATTCCGGATACTGTTCTGAGTGCGGCTCTTAGTACTATCTGAGTATTTGCTTAAGTATTATCTGAGTACTGTCTGAGTATTGAGTCACTGAGTCGTTATTTCACATGTCATCACACTTCAAAAGATGTTGCACTCTGTTGCTATTCAAAACTGATAGAGTTTCCTGAAGATGGTGATTCGAGCACAGCCAAGCTCATACAAGCTCCGCCCTGGCCTGTTCAATAGTTTCTAAAGTCGAACTGATGTTGTGCAGTTTTCCTTCAAGCTCGTAGAAATAAATCACATACTCGACAAATTTCCTGTAACCAGCCATCTGAACCGCATGCTCTCTTTGGGTTTGCTGGTGCAACTTCATATCTAAGCACGCCTCTTCTTCCCATCCCTCACCCTTGTTTCTGACTAGTGAACACTTCAACACTAGAATCTCGTCATCCCCCATAGTTCCTGCAGGCGCCAGGGCTGTCAATAACTTTTAGGGTTTGTCAAGTGGGATGTCAAAGTTAGAACTGAGACGTCTGTGGTTGGGTTATCAGTCGTATTACCAAAGTCCCTCAATAGGAAGCTACTCATTGATAATCTTCCTCTGCCACTACGTGCTCTGAACCGGCCACTGTATAGTTTTCATGCTCGGTGCTCCGTGCTAGTAGACCCTCCTTGATATTTTGCCCTTAGTGCACGACAAGGCGGGTCCCGTTTTGACGACGCTTAAACCCCAACATGCACGAGTTTTTCTAAGCATCCACACCTAACTGATATTCAGATCTAGAGCCAAAACTGATCTTTTACTCACTCCTGCGAGTAGATTGGTCCGTGCATACAGTATAAGGTAACTCATAGTCATCAGACAAACTCAGCACAGATATCTCATAAATTGTTGTTCATCGTGCTATGAGCTAGAAACTGCACGAATCACAATTCTTTCGCTCTGTAACCCTTGCGCAATTAGACGGCCCGAATCATACAAGTCCTGCGTCCGAGGAATGTTAAGTAAAATGTCAACTGAGTAGTGGAAATAAGCTCCCCTTTGTCAGTCCCAGCGTGGTGATTATCCAGTGGCTGGACAGTCAGTCACTGTTCCACTCGGAGGGCTGATCACCTCACGACTGAACAATCTGACGTGATCCCAGTCACGAAGTCTCGCTAGACTGGGAACATGACCTTAACTCATGCGTTTTGGCCAGTGAGTGAAGCAAGTAGTGGCAGCCTACTGTCGTGAGCACAACAAATTGCAAAGGTGCTACTCGGTCAGACACATAACGAGAAGTCCGACTTCCAAAAAAAAATTGTCAAAACGTTGCTCACTCAAAAACACCCGGAGATGTCACATCACACATGTCACTCTCGTACATCTCTTTGATTTGCGGAGAAATACGTTTTCAATCCCCTTTTCCCTTCTCCCTTTACTCATATGAACTAAAACAAGGGCACTGCCTAATCAACGACATACCTCAATAACTGAGTAGCTAGTCTCCGTCAAGCAAATACTTCACCAGCAGATAAGTAACTTTCTTTAGCATCACTCCCCTCTTGCTCATCGAACAAAGGCATAGAGGAGCAAGCACTAAGAGGACAGGTTGTCATAGCCGTTAAACCTTTGATATTGCAAGAAGGAGAAGAACACTTGACAGAGTACAAAATGGGAGAATGATAATCAGCACCTACACACGTGGGGGGGGGGGGTCTATACAAGATCAAAGCCAATCCGACGGATCTCACCTTCGTCTCATATGTTATAGACGTTACAAATGACAACTCACTGTTTTCTCCCCAACATTTTAACGAGTGTAGGAACAGTTATTAAAGCTTTTCCGAAAATGCTTGGTCGAGGCCACTAATTAGCAACTCCATCAATCCCTGACCACGACACTCATACACACTTAACTGTTATTGCCCCTCTAGTCCCCCTGTTAAGGCTCTGTCGTAACATCCCTTCAATATCAATAGCAACTGGTGCATAAAGCTCATACCAACTTTCGTTACATACCTCGTTCATTCAATCCCTCAGCCTGGTTTCAATCAATGAACTCACTAATCAATGATCATTTCTTCCCATCCTTAACTTGTGGATAACTCTTGATAGTCAGTGACCCACCGTAGTGTGATCGGACTGAAGACTGACTGTACTAAGTGGGGATAACGACGATTAGTGATCCCGCTCAGATATGTACAAT